AGTCGCGTTTTTGAGGAATAACTCCGAATTTAAGAGAGATAGCGAAATATTCATTAGGATCGGTTTTGGAGGAGGTAATGAAAGCTGCAAAAAAGGTGATTACAAAAATTTTGCTAGTTTTGTTAGATTCAGGGATATTGATCGAAAACTTAAGTATTAGTTGTAGCAATTTTTTGGTCTTTACTACTTCACTGCAGAATCGCGTGTTTTTTAAAATATTTTACATTATAATACAGGATAAGTACCGATGTTTATGTATTTTAGGATTAAATCAGAGCAAATTAAAAGTAAATCGGAGGATGAAGATCATTCCGTTAACGAATTGATGAGGCAGAAGTCTCGGGAACGAGTATTTCACTAACAAGCTATCAAATCATTTACTTTTGAATATCGTTAGTAATTCTATCGGCGCAATTTGCACCGCAGGTACAAAACTAATTTAATCTAATAATATCTTTCCGCAGCATTGTTATTTTTTTATAATTTCCTCATATCCCTCATCGATCCCTTTTTACTTGTATATTCGATACTTACCCTTCTCCTCACCTCTCATTCCCTTTTCAAAAAATACACAGAGAGAAGTTTCTTCATAAGACAATTTTTTTCAATCAATGGGAAACCCCCCTATTTAAACATTAATATGTTTTTTGTCAAGCGTACAATTTTTTTCGGTCATAATAAAAAATTGTGGGTTTTTGGGAGAATAAAAAAAAAATTTCCACTTTCTGGAAATTAATTTCTTGAGTCGCACAAATAATTCTTCTCTGTGTAATATCCTCACAACTAGTTCCCATTCCCCTTCAAACAGTAACAGAAAGTGCTCCCACTTGTTACCAAAATACTAGATAAACGAGAAAAAATTCGAGATTGGCATAAAAACAAAAAGAGGACATCGAAGGGAAACTAAACATGTGGCTTATCAGATATCCGTCCAAACAGATAAAAAAAATCACTCGCGGATTTTAATTATCGTATTAACAATATTTTTACGTTTATTAAAAGATTTTAACGAGAAATTTTGACTAGCCTTACCTTTCAAAGTATTTACCACGATAATTAGAATTGCATTGAGCATTTGTGAAGAAGGAAAAATTGTCGAAATAAAGCACTTTCTACACGAATAAATGTGGATTTATTTTTTTTTTTATTGCATGGGTGTCGTAAAACATTATCGATCCCCCTGGGGTGTTCTCCACATTCTCGAATAAGTAGATCACTCATTTTTTCTAATGGGCGTTAATTCATTCGTCCATCAGTGCATAATTTTCGTGTCAAGGTTTCCGTTACGATGTTGATTACAATGATACGATCAATAAAAAAAACGGGAATCATTGCGGATATTCCTCGAGGTAGATAATAAATTCGACAAGTCATTGTCAATTCAAACATTAC